ATGTTAGGTAGCATCACTTAAATAGTGACATGATTCCATGCCAGAAGTGACTTCTTACAGTGGCAGGTGACTGATCCCTGTGTATTACCTCTGTAGAGTGCTTGAGATTTTTCAGAATGAAACTAACTAGAATCAAGTACCTAGGTTCTATACATAGGCAGGCAATGATTCAGGAGTGTTTTCCCAAGTCTCCCCATCATCTGTGCAATGTATTGCCGCACAGAATAAGCTGTCCGTTATTCCTTACTTTTGCATTTGATATTACACCTATGTTGTACTGCCCTTACACAATCGGTGTGCTGCTGATTTTATTTTTAGATTGAGAATGCAAGATTGGTTTGTGAAAGTTACGGGGATTAGGGGAACCTGAAAGTTTTGGTAGCGGTGTAGAGGACCAATGGGATCGCTTGATCATTGTCTTCGGTCCACCCTCTCTGGCGCACCTGGTGCTGGCCACTATCGGCAGATAGGATACTGGGCTAGATGGACCTTTGGTCTGACCCAGTACGGCCGTTCTTATGTTCATGTGTCATCCCCTCAGGGGGTAGGCCAGGCCAGGCTCAGGTTATGTTTCAGGATGATAAGAGGTGGTATCGACTACACGATTAGTTGATAAGGGAAGATGCTCTGTCCCAGCTTGCTCCGGTCCAGGAGCTACCCCTGCTGTGGCTCTGCAGTTTAAATGTAGTAGGAGCCGGGCACACAGGCACCCTGGCCACCGCGAACAGAGGCTGGCGAACAGGAGGAGGGCAACTCCCCTGCTGCCACAGAGCAGCCTCTGCCTGTGGCAAGTCTGGGCCCATTGTGAGCAGAGGTGGCATCATGGAAGCCTACCTTACCTCCCTGACCCTCACTGCTGTTTCTGGTAGAGGCAGCAGCATGGGAGAAGAGGGAGGAGGTGGCATCATGGAGATGGTGCTGGGGGAAAACCAGCTCCAGTTTCCCTCCTCCCCCATGTGTGTGTATATACACACACACACACACACACACACTTGCTGCCTCTGATACAGAGGCAGCAAGGGTGGGAGGGAAGCAAATAGTCAAATAGTTGACTCAACTACTCGCTTACATCCCTAGTTATATTACCTTGTGCACACCAACCGCATATCACTACAGATCTGAGTATGTTCTGGGCATCTGTGTTTCTTTGTTTTGGGAATCTGTGACCGGTGCTATTGAACAAAAACTTCCTTAAAGTATTTTCATTTTGTAGTTGGGACAAAGCATAGCGAAACAGGAAAATATTTTTGAAACAATTAGTAGCGACAAACACATTTAGTCTCTTTACAGGAACAGAACAGATCCAATTCACCTTCTTAACACACCAAGATCTTTCTTTGCATATCTATCTCAATCTTGCTCTGACTGGTTCCTTTTAACAGGTTCAACAGGCCACCATCCCTGTGTGGGGCCTGGGACAAATTACCTTATTGCTGAATCTTTTTTTGTTTATGGGCCCAGGTGTGAAATCTCCTGGTGCTTGACAGTCAGTTTTTCCAGTCAATTGAGCATGCAGTAGGGCCTCTGGGAGAATGCCCTCTTGATGGCTGCTCTAGTGTTTGGACAGTTAGACCCATTCAGTCTCAATGGGTTGTAATCCCTAGCCTGATGCCTTGCCTCTCTCTTGTGGGTGAGTGCATAGGAGCTGTCTGCTCTGTTTTGCTAGTCTAACACACCATGTTAGAAGTCAAAAACATACATCATGTTCTAGTTACAGACTAAAATGTGCAATTAATAGACAGTTATTGCCATATGTCATCACAGAAGAACAATTATGTGACTAACTCCATGGCCATGTAATCACATTTTGCAGGAGGACCTCAGACTCATAGACTTTAAGGTCAGAAGGGACCATTATGATCATCTAGTCTGACCTCCTGCACAGTGCAGGCCACAGAATCTCACCCACCCCCTCCTAGAATAATCCTCTGAATGCAAGATGTATGATGATCATCATTTTCAGCACCTTCAAGTACAAAGAACCTACTGATAGGGTTAAAAAAACAGTTCTAAAGTGATGTTTACTGTCTAAATAGTAAGGAAATACCATGAAGGATTGACCTAATGCTGATTATTGAAATTATTTTGGCCTGTTGAATTTTGACAAAGGAGAAAGTTATGACAAAATCCTTATTTTCTTCATGTGCAAATGAATCCCCAGTGCTTTATAGAATAAAATGGCAATTCCTCTGCTACACTTCTCACTAAATAACTAAATAGGTACAAGATTGGCAGCAAGTGTCTCAGAGTGAGAGCAGTGGGTTGGGGAAAGAGGCAGATGAAGGGTGTATGTTAGGTACAAGATTGGCAGCAAGTATCTCAGGGTGAGAGCAGCGGGTTGGGGAAAGAGGCAGATGAAGGGTGTATGTGGAAGTTCTGGGAAAAGATAAGATCAAATCACTTGGAGCATCTCAGTGCTGAATTAGAAACAGGTGTTGAAACATGAACTCAAACAAGCAGCTGTTTATTCCCTGCAGCAGTGTTGTTAACTGAAACATACACTGGACATGATTCTCCTCTACCTGATACTAGTATTGAGAGAGAGAGAGAGAGGCGCAAACTTGCCTGTATTATCTTAGCTTCAGCATTTCCAGACTGAGTGGTTGAATTTGCACCCTTAACATTCTTTATTGTATGGGATACCATACAAAGGGCAGAATGTGGTGTCAGTAAGAATCCTTATTACCGAATGTTTAAGACCTCTGGTCTCACTGGTTTAGTAGAAGACTTCTCTCTATGCCAACCTCTGTCTCACCAAACTGTGCAGACTCCTTTCTTTCTTAAATAGTCCCCGGGTTACATGGATCCGACTTACATCGGATCCCTACTTACAAACGGGGTGAGGCAACCCCGCACTAGCTGCTTCCCCCCAGCAGACCAGGGAGACACGAAGCTAGCGCCCCCCCCCCCCCCCCCCCAAAGCAGACTAGGGAGATGCGGAGCGGCTTTTCTCAGCAGACACCTCAGCTTGAGAATAAAGGACTGAGGGAAGTGAGGTGTGGGAGAATAAAACTGAGCTCTGGAGAAATGTTTGGCTAGAGTTTCCCCTACAATATGTACCAGTTTCGACTTACATACAAATTCAACTACAGTCCCTATCTTGTACGTAACCCAGGGACTGCCTGTAGTTTGACTGACACTGGATAGCTTCCTATATGAGTTTATTTTCCCACTGAAACCAAATGGCACCTTAGCACTGTGTGGCTATGGCTAAATGTCAACCTCCCTGTGTATATTCACTCTCATAGCCACTTTCTCTAAATGGAAGTTTATTTTTCTCTGAGCACAATAACTAATACTTTTGTTGCCTATATAAGTGCTGAAAGCATCTGAGAATCTTTTTTTTTTAAATCAGTGTATGTATGGGACCATGGTTAAAAAGTGAGCTAGTCAATGGCTTTTTGTTTGAAAGATGTTGATTACTAGTTCGCAACCCTGGTGTGGTACATCAGTTATCTCCAATTGACAAGGAAAATAAAGTGCACTCTCCTAATGAGGAGGCTATCAAGTATTATCAGGCTGCAAGAGCTGTCTGTTCAGAGTGTAGGCATTAACAGCAAAGGAATTGATTGTAACAGGACTGTTTCCTTAACACTCCCACAGCAAGGGCAGTGTATTCACACATTTAAATCTGTCTCGTCAACCCCTGCTCACTTCACATATCCTTGAGGGGGAAGGGTTGAGGCAAAGCTTGAGGTATACTTCAGAGGAGACGTGTGCCTGGCTTTCGGATAAAAGGAAATCTTTGGGCTGAAGTGCTGTCAGTCTCTCTCAGTCCCTCTCTGCCCTTTCATAAGCACTACATTTTTAGCAAAAACAAGGCAACATTGTAACTTTTCCAGAACTCCGCCAAAACTAACAAACCCTGGAAATGCTAACGCAAACAGTTAAAGAGTGGCTTATAAAATGTTTAAGCACCAGATGTAAGAAAGTACGCGTTTTATTTGTTACCATATGTATAACCATAGTTCAAGCTTTAGTTTAGGTTAAGTATGCACTGGACCTGTCACAGCTACTCTAACTACCAGTTCTTACAACAAGCACAGCTCCTTTAACTACCCAGACAAATGTTGGAAAAGAAATATTGTAGCACAATTTCCAATAAGTTCTTGTACTATATTGGGGACAGCCTTTTATTTGCGAGTGTGTATGATGTAAACAGAGGAACAGCCATTATAGACTTGATTCTGACCACTACGGAGAAATCGAATGTGTATCTGAAGGTGGAAGGCAATTACGGTGAAAGTGATCATGAAATGATAGATTTCATGATTCTAAGGAAAGGAAGGGGTGAAAGCAACAGAATAAGGACAATGGACTTAAACAAAAAGCAACCAAGACTAACAAACTCACAGAACTGTTGGGTAAGATCCCCTGGGACGATAATCTTAAGGGATAAAGGAATTCAGTAGAGCTGGCAGGTTTTCAAAGAAATAATATTAAAGGCACAACTGCACACTATCCTGATATGAAGAAAAAAATAGAAAGAATAGTAAGAGGACAATATGACTATCAGAAGCTTGTTAGTGACTTGAAAATCAAAAAAGAATCCTACCAAAAATGGAACATGGATGTATTGCTAAGGTGGAGAACGAAAGAGTAACACAGTAGGGACATAATCAGAGAGGCAAAGGCACAAGATGAGTTACACCTAAAAAGAAACATAAAAAGCAACAAGAACTGGTTATTTAAATACATAACCTCTTAGTACAGACATTTAAATACAACTCTTTTTAAAGAGGAGGTTAAAGAATGTGTGGGTCCATTACTTAGCAGGGATGGAGAAGCTAATTACGGATGACATCGAGAAGGCTGAGGTGTCCTTGCTTCTTGCTTTGTGTGGTATTCTAATTCTTTTCACTTACCCAGATGGTTTTACATCAAGGGTAACTGGAATGCCATGCTGATAAACTTCTGTGCTCAACACAATCCAGCTGTATACTCAAAAGAATGTAAGCCTCTTCTTTCTGCCCTGCCCCCCCACCCTCTTTTGCTTTCAGGTGGCGGCCAAGGCTGGAGTTTATGAGATCCTGAATCAACTGGGGTTTGCCGAGTTTGAGAACCCAGAAGACAAGTCTCTCTCCAAGCTCCGCTACCGCTGGCAGGAACAGAGCCGTAGCCAACTTCCATTTCGAGGGGAGTTCATTTAGGACCTGACACTGTGAGGCACCTTGGAAATGTCTACATTTCTCCAGACTTGGCTGGTTCACTTGCTTTTTATGGGTGGAGGGAGGGAGAATTTGCCTTAAGGAAGACTTTGTTTCCAGAAAGATTGGAGAGGGAACGGGACACACCTTAAACTGACTTTAGAAAAACAAAAATTTATAGTGTTCTGTTAGACACAATAAAAATATTGTAAATTAAATGACAGGTGTCTAATTAAAAACATTGTGTAATCTTGAAAGAATCTCTGAAATGTTTGAGACAATCTTTTGAATTTAGTGAATGTATTAGCAGCAAGTGCCAAATTTTTCATGGCCTTCTTCATTTTCCCACTATAGCAGTGCAGTGTCTGTGCTATATATAAAGTGATATAAATGCAAAAGCATTTGCAGGCGTACTTAGGATTCATGAAGAATCCTGTAAGCACTAGAATAAGATTTGGATTTTTATGTTCATTCATATTTATTACACTTTTTTAAATTAACTTTAACAACAAACTGGAGGTGTTTGAGGAAAAAAATAAGCTAATAACTTTCCACCGCTTGTACAGTCAAAATCCCTGTTTCCAGTGCTGGGATATTTTAGCTGTAGTATGGTACCAAAGCTTTTGTTTAGCAAAGAGCTAAGTTTTGTGGATCCAGAAACAAAAGATGAAATCTTGGTCCAACTGCAATCAACAGGAGTTTTGCTGTTGAATTCAGCATTTCACAGTGTGACTAAAGCAATAAAAAAAAGTTGCAGCAGTAACAATAAAAAAGAAGGGATTAAAAAGATTAAAAATAAAGGGAATCAAGATTGTTCAAAGAAGGAATGAAGTCACATTCCCAGTATTGCAGCTTAGGGAGAGGCTGGTTGCAGAAGGTTTGGTGAGCAGAAATGGAATAGTCAAGAGCTAGCATAAATAGGATAACAAAATAAGATATGAAATACAAATGCACAAGCATGCGAGTCTGTCTCTTTCAAAGCCTGCTTTCATCAGCTGCCAGCAGTGCTGGAGGTGCATACATCAAAATTAAAAAGTGAACTTTTTTGAAAAATAAAATACAAGAGGTTTATGTTTTTGTTTGGAATCATTTCTATTGCTACTTCAAAATCCAAGCTCTGAGGCTTCTGTTTATCAAGCATTTTTTTTTGGCTTCTTTCTGAAGGAGCATTTTGTTTTGTTTACTTTTTATAAATGCAAAGCATCTGATCAAGTATTTTACAACTCCAGCAGGATATTTTAGTGTTTGAGATGCTGGAGATAAAGGTGAATAGATAACTAGTAACTGCAAAGTGGCAGAGGCTATTCTTTTGTCTTTTGTTACTTCTAGCACAATCATAAATTTTCACTTCTTTTCATACCCTGTAGTAATTGAAATGTGGCTGTGCAGAAGTGACAAAGCCAAATTAAACTTGAAATTAGAGTATGGCACTGGTATGCAGAGAACTCTGAAACAGCCTTGTTTATTGATTTCTGTAACAAAGATGTATATCACCTTTTGTATTCCGTTCCTTTCATATAATGGAACATCTACTGTATTTTTTGCAAAACTACTGTACAGCTGTATGCCTCCACTTTGTTTCTAAATGTTATGGGATCTTCTGGGTTTCTCCAAGTGTATGTTTATTATTTCATTGAGGTAAAAGATCTTTGTGGACAGTAGGGTGCCTAAAAACCTGTGAGGATCTGTGCTTCACCAAAACAGTTTCGCAAGAAATTCTTTTGACTAACTTGATCACATCATGTGATATCAAGGACTACTAACAAATCTACCATACTACAGGTTTCCTCAAAGCTGCACCTGTGACATTTCTTGTAACTGGACAAAGACTGTTGTGTGTTCATGTTTCTCTTTTGTTCCTTAAAGATATGATATCTGGGGTGAAATTCTGGCTTCGTTGAAACACAACAAAACTCCCAGTGACTTCAGTGGAGAGTGCATTTTACCCCTCACATGCAAAACATTTCCATAGGCCATGAACATTCAATTTATGTTTTCAGAAAAACTTCTCTCTTGTACAGAATCTTCCATATTGGGCTTCAGCATTATTCTGCCTACGCTGTCTTGATGAGGGAACAAAAATAGCTAAAAAGCAATAAGCTTAGCTACTGGGTAAAGCAAATTTTGTCTCTTTACCTCTCAGTTCTGAGGGGCCCCAAGCCTAAAAAAAAATAGAGACAGACTATTTCTGCCCTTTCCTCAATGAGGACTTCACAGATCCTTTCAGGCATAAAAGGCTCTGGCAATTCAGTGGCTGATGAAACTGATGTTCTTTGATGTCTCTTAATGAAGTTCAAACTAGTCTGAAAAGGGTTTGTTACCTGTGTATGGGACATTTCTGGAGCCATGTTTTCCTCTTGTGCAACTGAATAGAAACATCATACATACATAGTGGGGGAGACATCCTATGGGTGGCAAGTGACACAGAAGGTTGCCTGTTGAATTGAGGCATCATTTTTAGAGGAGCTGAGTGCCCACAACTCCACCAAAGTTCATATGAGCTACAGGTGTTCAGCATGTCTGAAAATCAGGTCTTTGAGTCCTTGGGGGTATCTGCCCAATGTGTATATGGATGAAGGGAGTGGAGCTTGCCTGCATTGGTCCTTAATTTGTTGAAAGGGCAGAGTGAGAGAGGACTTAGAATAAGCCAGAAAGCAGTTCCCATAGAATCATAGAGCTGGAAAAGACCTCAGAAGGTCAGCAAGTCCAGCCCCCTGCTCTAGGCAGGACCAATCCCAACTAAATCAACCCAGCCAGGGCTTTGTCAAGATTTAAACACCACTAGGGATGGAGACTCCACTACTTCCCTAGGTAACCCATTCCAGTGCTTCACCACTCTCCTAGTGAAATAGTTTTTCCTAATATCCAACCGGGACCTCTCCCACCACAACTTGAGGCCATTGCTCCTTGTTCTACCATCTGTCACTACTGAGAACAGCTTCTCTCCATCCTCTTTGGAACTTGCCTTCAGGAAGTTGAAGGCTACTATCAAATCCCCCCTCCCTCTTCGCTTCTGCAGACTAAACAGACCCAACTCCCTCAGCCTCTCCTCATAGGTCATATGCTCCAGCCCCTTAATCATTTTGGTTGCCCTCCGTTGGACCTTCTCCAATCCTTTTTGTAGTGGGGGGTCCAGAACTGGAAACAATACTCCAGATGTGGCTTCACCAGAGCCGAATAAAGGGGAATAATGACATCTCTGGATCTGCTGGCAATGCTCCTCTTAATGCAACCTAATATGCCATTAGCCTTCTTGGCTACAAGGGCACACTGTTGACTCATATCCAGCTTCTCATCCACTGTAACCCCGAGGTCCTTTTCTGCAGAACTACTACTTAGCTGGTTGGTCCCCAGCTCCTCTTAAACATTCATCACTATCCATCATTTCTACTGGCAAATCTGATTTTATTCATTTATTTTGTAGTTGCTCAGCCTTGCCCTGGATGGAGACCAGCTTCTGTCTAGGTTGTGGCTATAGCAATGTCAGATTAGTTTTGAAAACACAAAGTAGCTACTGGAGCCTCATTAAATGTTACAAATGTTCTGATTAGCTTTTTAAAATATTTGTTTTGTTATACCTTTTGCCATTTCACTTATATGGAGAAAAAGCTCTTTTCCAGCTTTATTAGGATAGTCTAGAAACTTTTGAGTAACATCACCTGGATTGCTATGTGAAAGGTTCCCTCCCTCCTGTCTTTACATCATGCAGTTTGAAAGAGCATCTCAAACTTTGGAAAAACTCAAAAGAAAAGAAAATCCAGGGAAATGACTTTTAAACAATGACTGTTGTCTTGGAAAACTTGCCATTGTCAATATTTTTCATTTTTATAAAAATTTAGAGTCTTTTTCAGTGTTCTGAATTTTTTATAGAAAACAATTAAATATTGTTGAATTAGCTATTGAAATTATACAATTACTAGAAACTGGGTTTTCAATAAATGAAAAATTACCACAGGTTGGACCTCCCTGGTCTGACGCCCTCAGGCACCTGTCCCAAATGAGGGAATTTGCTGGACTGGGGAGGTCCTCTACCACTGTCCCTCCCTCTGGCTGGCTCTGCTCCAGCCCTGCTGCTACAGATCTAAGGCTTGGCTCCAGTCCGCTCCTGCCAACTGGCTGGGGTTCTCTTAGCCGCTTCTATTCCGCCCAACTGGGGCTTCCTGGGGATGGGGCTCCACAGCTGTTCTGCTGCTGCTGCTCTCAGCTGGGACTTCTTGGATAGGGCTCTGCAGCTGCCGCAGGGCCAGGGCTGCACAGCTGACTCACTGTGCAAATTCCCGGCTGGAGCTCCCCACCACTGAACTCCTGACCAGCTCGCGCTCCCTGACACCCCGCTTCTATTCCGCCCAACTGGGGCTTCCTGGGGATGGGGCTCCACAGCTGTTCTGCTGCTGCTGCTCTCAGCTGGGACTTCTTGGATAGGGCTCTGCAGCTGCCGCAGGGCCAGGGCTGCACAGCTGACTCACTGTGCAAATTCCCGGCTGGAGCTCCCCACCACTGAACTCCTGACCAGCTCGCGCTCCCTGACACCAGGGCTTTCTGGTCCAGCAAAATCCATGATCCTGATAGACCACAGATGTTGCCAAACCTGGATTTAGGAAGTTCAACCTGTATAACCATTTTGATAGTGTTTTGTTGAATTCTCAAATTCTAATAAAAATCTGACAAAATGTAATCTGCAGCCTGTCCCCCTCTGATTCACTAGTTAGCACTAACTTGGGCTACTTTACTATGTTCCTTCACATTTCCCTGCTTTTCCTTTAACTGAAAATTAACTTTTTGTTTACATTTCCCATTTGTTCATTGTAATGAAACTTCTGTAATTCTCTTACTTCGTCAGTTCTTGTTTCTGGTCTCTTTACAACAAGAATGTTCTTCCCCAAGTATTGTTTCTGTGAATGTTAAGATCTTTTAGGGCTAAATTCAGACTAGTGGTGAAATGCTGTACCTCTTCCCCCATGTGCATGCCTCAAAAGGGCACATATATAACCCATATAAGTGACATTAGTATGTGCCGGCATGATCCTAAGACCAACTCAATGCACAGCACTCTCGCTCATTCTGCTCATTGTGGAATAGTTTTTGTGGGGACCTTTACATTGGAGCCATCGCTAGGACATGACATCTGCAAATAGATGGATATCATGTAGATTATCATGCTTCACTGACTTCAGTGGAGCTATGACCGCTTATGCTTGCTTAGGATCTACTGCTTACTTCCTTGTGGCCAAACCCAGTTCTGAGATTTTCATCTTGGAGGACCTGTGTAGTAGTGTCACTCTCTGGCTAAATCTAGACTATGGAGTTTTTGCAGGATACCAAAGGTATTCTGGAAAAAGCCCACTGTGTCCAAGGAACACATTTTCTTTTCCAGTTTTTTTTTGTGGAAGAGCAAATGTGTACCTCATTTCACAAGGCATAAGGGTTCCACTAAAAGGAGGCGGCTTTTCTGCCATTTGGCCCTATTTAGACGGGGCCAAATGACAGAAAAGCCTCTTCCTTCTCCCCCTCCCCCCCAAAAAAAGCTATGCAAAATGGAGTGCATTTTGCGTAGTGTTTTCCACAAAAGTGTCGCAATATAGACCTAGCCTGAGTTCTTGCCAGATGAAGCAGGAGCAGTCAGAATCCACTATGGATGTTTACTAGTGTTCGCAGGGTTTCTACAATTCCCAGACAAGGGGATGTTGCTATACCAAACTGACTTAGTGTTATTCATCATTCCCTTGGGCAACAAAACATTCGTTATGGACCATCTCCATAGCATGTGTGTTACATTTCCATTCTCTTCGCCACAATTCCAACATTCCAATAGACTTTTTTCCTGCTTTTGGTGTTTTTAGTGCACTGTGGGTGGGGTTTGCTTGGTTTTTATTTTCTGCTAAACAGCTTTGAGTGACTAGTAAATAGATTTACTATAGGTATTTCTTAACACGATTCTGCCATGTTAGTGAAGAAATAGGTTAGAGCATTGAAGTTCAGGTTTTTGAGGCTTGGATATGCACATTTCCCCTAAGTGGGATTTTGGTTGTATTGGTTTTGGTGCAGAGGTGAGGGGGCTGAACTGAGATACTTGGTACCCTTTCCCAATGTCATTTCAAATTCCTGCCACTCAAGCAGGGAGGTCAATAGCAGCTTTTTAGGCCCATATTTCTAAACATGACCTCTAATTTTATGCCAGTCAAAATATTGAACTTGTTTTTACCCATGGTATCGGGATTCACACACTTAGTTCTGATATCTGTATTACTGTTGTGTCATTGAGCTATCCATTTTGCATGCCCAAATACAGTTTGCAGGATAATGCTGGGGCATTATTACCAAAGATTACATCACCTCGTCCCCCCAAGAATGTCAAAATGGCCAGATGCTGTACAAGCCCTTGAGCTGAAGTAGGCATGTGAACAACTAGTCTACTATCCGATAAGTAAATGCTTTATTGGAGAATTGACATGCTGGTCAATTAGTTGCTTCCTCCCACCCCTTGCTGCCTCTGTCAGAAAGAGGCAGGAAGGTGAGGGAGGGGGAGAGGGAGAGGAGGAGGTGCTTCAAAGCAGCAGCGCTGCATGGACCCGGGCTCCACATAGCACTGCCGCTTTGAAAT